TTTTTTTTTTTTATAACTTTACACTTGTTTAATCCATGATCCAAATGTATGGTGGTGATGGATAACAAGTGGGGCTAATTATAGGTAATTAGTAGCCTAAAAAACCTATATTTGCAAAGGAGATCTCTAATCTTCCAACTAATATAATCCAACCCTCTATCTTTCATTATTAGCACATGTATCCCAAATCTAAACTTATATCCAACTTACATATCCAAAAATTGTGGATCATAAATTAATTTAATCATTTGGTCAATTGAAGTCCTAACAAAATAATCGACCACATTCAATTTCATACTTGACTTAAGGTTCGACTAATTAATAATCACTTCATGTGAACACAACATTTAACACCTCATGCTTGTAGTCATTAGCTACCTCTAACATTAACTACTACAAAGGTGGTGTTCCATTTTCTTATGGCCAAAAATAGTATTGAAAGTTAAATCGCCATCTTAAAGAAATTTAAATCAGCATAAAATTTCGGAGTATTACACATTATCCCGTTGGATAGTTTAAACTTCAAATAGTTTTCCATCCAATTGACACTTGACAACAATGCAAATGTCAAACAACGTGTCAAAAGTCACCGTACAAATATCAAAGTTCAATCGGTAAGAACCTTGCTACATGTACACTATGTGTACACACTTTAGTTTACACTTGCCAAGTGACATTACCCTGTTGGATAGTTTAAATTTCAAATAGTTTTTCTATCCAATTGACACTAGACAACAATGCAAGTGTCAAACAACGTGTCAATAATCACTATACAAATTGCAAAGTTCAATTGGTAAGGACCGTGCTACACGTACACTATGGTGTACACTTTAGTTTACAGTTTGCCACGTGACACTACCTTGTTGGGTAGTTCAAATTTCAAAAAGTTTTCCCATCCGATTGACACTTGACAACAAAGGGGGGTCAAATAATGTGTCAAAAATCAGCGTAGAACTAGCAAAGTTCAATCGTTAAGAACCTTCCTACATGTATACTATGGTGTACACTTTAGTTTACACTTTGCCACTTGACATTGACTGTTTAAATTTCAAAAAAAATTTCCACCCAATTGAGACTCGGCAACAATACAAGTGTTAAACAACGTGTCAAAAATCAGTGTACAAATAGCAAAGTTTAATCAGTAAGAACTTTGCGACAAGTATACTACGATGTACACTTTAGTTTACACTTTGCCACTTGACATTACCCTATCGTACAGTACAAATTTCAAACAATTTTCCCACCTAATTGACACTTGACTACAATGCAAGTGTCAAACTACGTGTTAAAAATCAGTTTACAAATAGCAAAGTTCAAACGGTAAGATCCTTCCTACATGTACACTACGGTGTCGACTTTAGTTTACACTTTGTCACATGGCATTACCCTGTCGTACAGTTTAAAATTCAAACAGTTTTCTCACCCAATTGACACTTAACAACAATGAAAGTGTCAAACAACATGTCAAAAATCAGTGTACAAATAGCAAAGTTCAATCGGTAAGAACCATACTTCATGTACACTATGGTGTACACTTTAGTTTATCCTTTGCCACGCGTTATCCCTGTTGGACAGTTTAAATTTCAAACTATTTTCCCATCTAATTGACACTTGCCAAAAATGCAAGTGCCAAAAAACGAGTCAAAAATCAGTGTACAAATAGCAAAGTTCGATCGGTAAGAACCTTGCTTCATGTACACAATGGTGTACACTTTAGTTTACCCTTTGCCACACGACATATCCCTATTGGAGAGTTTAAATTGCAAATCGTTTTCCCATCCAATTGACATTTGACAACAACGCAAGTGTCAAACAACATGTCACAAATCAGTGTCTAAATATCAAAGTTTAATCGGTAATAGCTTACACTTTGTTATGTGACATTACCCTGTTGGACAGTTTAAATTTCAAACAGTTTTCCTATCGAATTGACACTTGACAACAATGCAAGTTTCAAACAATGTGTAAAAAATCAATGTATAAATAGCAAAGTTAAATTGGTAAGGACTGTGCTACATGTACACGATGATTTACAATTTAGTTTACACTTTGTCACGTGAGAATACCCTGTTGGACAGTTTATATTTCAAACGGTTTTCCTATCCAATTGACTCTTGGCAATAATGCAAGTGTCAAACAACGTGTCAAAAATCAATTTACAGATAGCAAAGTTCAATCGGTAAGAACCTTACTTCATGTACACGACGGTGCACACTTTATTTTGCCCTTTTCCAATCGACATATCCCTGTTGGAAAATTTAAATTTCAAAAAGTTTTCCATCCAATTGACACTTGAGAACAATGCAAGTTTCAGTTTTCCCACCCAGTTGACACATGACAACAATGCAAGTGTCAAACAACTTGTCAAAAATCAGTGTACAAATAGCAAAGTTCAATCGGTAAGAACCTTGCTGCATGTACAATATGGTGTACACTTTAGTTTACAATTTACCACTTGACATTGCCTTGTTTAACTATTTAAATTTCAAAAAGTTTTGCCATCCAATTGACAATTGACCACAATACAATTGTCGAACAACGTGTTAAAATTCTGTGTACAAATAGCAAATTTCAATC